ACACACACACACACACACACACACACACACACACACAGAGAGAGAGAGAGAGAGAGAGAGAGAGAGAGAGAGAGAGAGAGAGAGAGAGAGACTTGCACTATCTGTTAGTTATTTCATGAACCAAGATTTATATTCTTCCAGTGATTTTTTTTTCTAGATTTTTTGCAGGTCTTTTTTTCCACATATTAAATCTATGTCAGAGTCTGATGCTACCATACAGCTCCTACTCAGCACTAAATTAAGCAAGCTACTTTTTGAGTGGTACAACTTGGAGCCACTTACATCCGAGTCCTCTCTAAGCATAAAGAAAGTTGTCTAGCCTTCATCATCTTGCTGGACTTCAATCTCCCATAAAATGGTCTTTGGTTATTCTTAGCCAAGTCAGGGTTTCTCACCTGCAGCCCTAGTGCCCAGAGGATGAACTTCTGTGAGGGGGAGCGCAGGTCTCGTATGCTGTAAAACATGTAACAGCGTCCTTTGCCACTTTTCTAGCAGCTGCTCATGGCACTGCTGACTGCCCCGGCTGGACTAGAACAAAAATGTCCATGGGCATAGCCAATGTCCCACTGGAGAGCAGTCATTCCTTGAACACGCACACAGACAACTGGTTGAAATAATAAAGAATAGTTTTAAATGTACCACAATTTAAAATCTATGATTTTAGCCAGCTGTGGTGGCACATACCTTTAATCCCAGCAATTGGGAGGCCGAGGCAGGAGGATATCTGTGAGTTTAAGACCAATCTGTTCTACAAAGTAAGTTCCAGGACAGGCTCAAAAGCTACACAGAGAAACTCTGTCTCAAAAAAACAAAAACAAAAACAAAAACAAAAAACAAAAACAAAACAAAAAACAAAAAAACCTATGAATTTAACCATTTTTGATCTGGCATAATAACATTATTATTTTTAAATTATGCATATTTTCCTACATTAAAGGCTCAGAAACAAAAATCATTGCTGTTAAAGCAACCACACTCACCATTTATATTATACCTAGTAAAACGGTTTTATTTTGCCTCTATGTATTCTAATTAGAAGAAACCAATGTCTTTGAATAAAACAAGTACAAGTTATTTTCATTGACAAGTAACTTTTATTTTTAAATAAATTAAAAGACACACTAACTAGATCATCAGTCATTTAGAATGCAAGTAAAGGTCCACAGTTATTGCTGTCAGGAATTCCCGTTGACGTCATTTCCTACCAGCCTGCTACGGTTGGTACACACAGCATAAGGCAAGGGCAGCCACCATCTTCATTTCCATTTTCAAGCAGCTCAGTCGCTGTCTCTGCTATTTACATAAGGTCAGGTGTAATGACTCTCCAAAACCTCCAGTGGGCAGATAACAGGAAGCCCCAAACAGAAACCTGGAATCACTGTATTCAGGCCTGATAACCTCCAACACTGAATCTTCCTCAGAAAATTATTTCAGTTGGAAAAAAAAAATGAATGATTACAAGAGGATATTCATCACAAGAGCTTTCTTCTAGAGATAGTTACGTGCTTCTCATTTATCCTGACCCCAAATGTGGCAGATGGCATTAGATGATCCTACTGATGCAATGCCTGCAACACAGCTAACAGATCAGTGCTGCCTTTTTATCCCCAGGCTGGGTGCTGAAGCTAAATCCATCGCAATATCTGAAAACTCCCAAGGTCAGATGGCAGCAGAGAGTGTTAAAAGACTTGCCTAAAGTCATGGGACTATTTGGTAGATGATGAGGGCTTTGGACGCCAGCATTTAGAGGTATAGCATTTAGTGCTGGGAGGGATTGAGGAGACTGAGGCAAAGAGACATTAAATGTATTTCCTTCCTCTAGTACCAGAAACAGGCAGGCAGTCTACAATTGAGGAAGACACCCAGTGTGGATATCTGACCTCCACACACGTAAAGTGAATTAGTTAAATTCAATTTGAATTTCAGAAAAACACCTCTTCTACAAGACCCAGGGGCTTTCCAAGGAACTGGATCATAAACATGAGCTGTTTGTAGTGATGCCATTGGTGCCCCTCCTGGACCTTTCCTCTTTTGTCTACCCTGCTGTTTGCATGAGGATTAATAAACAACAGAATGAAAATGCCTCTCTTCCAGACAGTTCAGTGGAGTACTCTTACAGGCTGGGAGGACAGCCGTAGGTTCTTCCCATCAGATCGTGGAGCAGGTGTTAGGCACTATAGAGACAGATGCCTTTGAAAACTCAGAAGAGCAAAGTGTTATCTTTCCTTTTCTGCTCTCTTCCTTTCCCAGGTCAGGCCAAGTGTCCAAAGGTCTCAGGTCCCCTCTTATCTGCCCATGAGCCTTCCACGGGTCTTCCTCCCAAATGCCCTTCATACAGAAAGCCCCATGCCTAATATCTTTATTTACTCCCCACTAATCCCACCAAATCTTATTTTCCTAAAGTAAAACTCCTACCACAGGGATATTTTGGAATGCAAAGTGTATTCCTTTAAACGTACGATGTGCACTTCTCCCTACGTGTACTCTAAGGATCGATTCTACTCACTTAGGTCAACGGGTCTACAATATGATTATATTCCTGTCCAGAACTGGCCCTACCCAGAGGCAATGATTGTAAATCCACGTGATTGTGCCAAGCTGTGTAAATTAAAGTTCAGCAGGCATGCCAGACATAGGAACCAGGGTATTGGTGTAGAATTAAAAAAAAGTCAGTTCATCATTAGATGTATAAAATGGCAAGAGATCTTTAGAGGAAACATATACATAGAAGATTAAAAAACTAAAAGCAGGGAACTGGGGAAATGCTTCAGTCAGTAAAGTCTCTGCCACACAATCATGAGGACCCAGTTCAGATTCTTAACCAGGTAAAAATCTGAGTACTAGTGTGTGCCTGTTATACCAGCTCTGAGGAGATGGAGGATCACTAAGGCTTATTGGCCAGCTAGTCTGGAATTGGTGAGCTGCAAGTATCAAATAAAATAATAATGATGATGATGATAATGACAATTGGGGAAGACACCCAGTGTGGATATCTGACCTTCATATACATGTGCACACAAGTGAGTATATATATATATTTAACATAGATAGCAAAGCAAACAAAAACAAATAGCTGAATACATCTGTTCAGATGTGGGAAAAGAGAATTAGCAACAAAACAAAGAGCAGGGAGAGGTATTTTGCACATCTGAGCAGGATTTCCCAGCTATTTTCCCAGAAATTATCAGAAGGATGCAAGTGTCTTATAGAAACCACGATTTCATGCTGAGAAAATTAGAAAAGATAGTCGGTACCTGTGAATGCTTAGATACCCTTTTTATACTAAAATACATAGTTTTAGGGAACCATACCTCAGTGAGGTTTAAAAGCAGGGTTTGTCACATTTTAGAATGATTTGAAAACCACCTGCCCGCCCATTTCCATGGTGGTCACAAAAGCAGCAGGGACAAGAGCCGGATGGACATGCTCAGCAAAGACTATTTACATAAAACATACCTTACTGTGATTGCTGAGCTGATTCCTCTCTGGGTGAGTCTTGGCTAGCGAGCATCCTAGGCATAATTTACTATGCTTTCAGGAGATCATTTCTTTGATAAACACACTTGTAGTATTGCCCTTAATATAACTGAAAAGAGACAGGAACTGAGTATGGATTTGGTCAGGAGAGAATTTTACCTGTGTCTGTTAAGATAGCCCACTTCACTCCAGGGCAGTGTGAATACTTTTGGTCACGGGAATGGGACTGTTCCCAAACAGACATGTGGAGTTCAGGAACTCTGGTGCCATCTTAAGGCTTAACAAACCATTTTGTTTCATCTTGTACTGGGCATCACTGTAATGGGAAGCTGGGAAAAGACGTGTGCCTACCTAATGAAACATTGGCTTTCCTCCTTTGAAGGGGCAGATGCGAGGAGAAGATACCTTGGCCATCCATGGAGCCCGGGAAGATGGGCTTCCTGTGGACTTGAGGCAGTCCTCACCTGACCAAGAGGCCAGTGCCCCGGGTCTGATCCTGCCGGAAGACATGTTGTCTGGGGAGGAGTCTGAGTGTATCTCATCTGACGACATCTCCTTGCCTCCACTCCCAGCCAGCCCCGAGTCCCCTCTGGCACCATCCGACATGGAGGTGGAGGAACCTGCCAGCTCTTCCACCCTCATGCTCCACGTCAGCGGCGGCAGGACACACGCAGGGACTGGTGTTCTAGGGGAGGCCCAGGAATCGGTTCTCCCACCACCCGTTGCCTTTGCTGACGGGTGCCGTAATGAGAAAGACACATTTACAAGTCACTTTGAGAGGCCCTACCCCCAACTCAAAGCTGAATCCTCGTTAACCTCCAAAGGATCAGTAGAGATGAGTACCAAATTACACATCCATGTGAAAGGTCCAACAAGCATGCCCCATGAAGTGCACGACAGAGCTTTGCAGCAAGACGCCCAGGCTCAGGAGAGCTCGCTAGAAACCCAGGAGAAAGTGCATGCCGATTCTAATGTCACTAAAACCCAGGACAGGCTGCATGATCCCCCTGATGTATCCCCCGGCCTCAGCTCTCAGTCAGGCACCAGCAGGAAGCAAGCAGGTCCCCAAGGAGACAGGAAAAACTCATCTGCAGAGAGCAGCGTGGTCAGCCTAGCTGGCCAGGCGCCTCATTTCTCCAGGCTGCTGTCCAATGTAACTGTCATGGAAGGTTCCCCGGTGACTTTGGAAGTCGAAGTAACAGGATTCCCAGAGCCTACACTGACATGGTGGGTAGCCTATAATGACAAACCGTAGACAGAAATAATGGCTGCTGAGAGTATCTTGTAATGTGTGAACTAACCTAAAGGTTTAGGGCTGGCTGACTAACCCTCCTGACACTCAACTCTGCATGATTTGATCTCACATCACACCTCAACTTTCGTTTAACTAAAAGCCCTTTAATACCCTTGGTGGGGGGGAAAGTAACCATGTGAAATAATGATTTAACAGCCTCCAGGAAGCAGGGAAGTTGATTCTGTTTGGTTTTCTTTCCATTTAACATTCCTCATTTCTGATAATCAAGTCCTGAAATTCCGACCCTATTGTCTGTTTCTACATGGCATTTTCTTGGTTTAACAGCCTCCAGGCAATTAAAAAGCCTGAGAAACCAGAAACCGAAGGGTTTTTTCCTTTCCTTCCTTCATGCATTTCATCTTTCCAACAGAACCGTGGGTGCCCACCTTTGTGATATTTGTTTTGCTAAGGTTCCTTTTTATAAACATCTTTAGTATGAAAGGTGAGCCACTTCTTTTACAGTTACTCCAGGTGGCTGATAATAAAGTCATTGTTTGAAAAGTGACGTAATAATTGAGCTGTGAACTTGGTAAAAGCAAACTGTAAAGTCAAGGTGCTAAAGCACCTGCCATGAATAACAAGGCAGTTCCAGCATTTCCTGTGGGGGTTACTTTTAAACCTTCACAAAATTTTCATCCTCCAACAGATTCATTTGAGAACAAACTAACAAGCGACGGTGAGTTTATAATAGGCTAAGATAAGTATGTTGTATTTAATTTCTCAGGCATTTTCAGTAAAAGTTGTTTTATTTTAGCATGTCCCATTGATGGTATTTGACTTGTGGCCCAGCTATTTAAAGACTTTAGGAGAAAACTTGGGCACTCAGATAGTAAGAGAATCTGCAAACAGATGTAAGTGCAGAAAATAGCACTTTTTTTGTTTTGTTATTTTTACAATTGCATGGTTTTTACACATCAAAACTTTTGTATTTATGGATTCCACAGATATTTTATTTCATAATTAAATATTAGACCCCAAAGAAAGATGCCGTCTGAGGTGTTTCTTATTTTTTTTCTCCAATACAAACAAGCAGCTCCATTAGGGTTAGTACATATGGCTGAAGAGTTGGCGCAACATATGTATTATTGAAGAACTAGTACAAATGGCAAAAGGTAAAGCCATTTTCCCATCAGGTCTAGAGGAGGTTTGCCCAGTGAACACTTACTTGACAGTCCATCAGGGAGCTATGCATTCCAGGACACTCTGAGATGCAAGAATATCTCTTAGGCAGAAAACTGACTTTGGAGCTGGCCCAAGCATGAGGACCTGATCTCATTGTAAAAGCTGGGTACAGTGAAGAGCACCTGTGATCTCAGTCCTGGGGTGCTGGAGACAGTAGCTGAATCCCTGAGCTCATGTGGGGAGACCCTGACTCAGGCAATAAAATGCAGCCTGGTAAAGGAAGACATCTGATGTGAGCACCTGGGCTCCACACACAGGTGTCCCATACACAGACACACACATAAAAAATTGACTTGGGTTTCTCATCGGTCCCTATGTGGAAGAAAGTGTTTATAAAGACATAGATATGGAATGTAAGAAATAAATTATTTGCTGCCTAAAATGATCCAGGTAAGTGTTCATGTTCAGAGAGAAATTTTAGAAACAGGTCATTTAGAGTCAAGAGGTAATGTCATAAATGTTTTTTATAATGAGAAGTCATTGTCTTCTAATGAACTTAATTCACAAGTAAAGTGAGCTCCTTTCAGCGGAAGAGGCGTAGGGTCCCTTCATTCACATGTGCATGTGTCCTGCTGGGAGGCTCTGCTGTATGAACACCAAGGGCAGATGAACCTCACTTCTGTATAGATGCCAGGCAGGAGTCACAGCTGCTGCTAAGAGCTGCAGATAGGGTGAAGCAGGCTGGATATGTGGGTGCCACTTCACACTCTAGGTAACTGTTGCCACAAGCAAATGGTGACCCAGTATGACCAGATGGTCTGCTGTGCTGTGGTGTGTGTGTGTGTGTGTGTGTGTGTGTGTGTGTGTGTGTGTGTGATTTTAAAGAATAAGTGAATTATGAATTTTCATCTATAATATTCTGTTAAATGCTATCACAGAACTTTCAAAAATACAATCTGAGTCAATCAATGTGATTTTTCTGGCCACAGGATGATAAACAGTCTCATTGGCATACACTGTAGCTAGATAATTCCTGCTAATAGTAGAGAATACTGCAATGGGGATGGGCCTGTCTGCAATAGGTATGAGAACTTTGAGATGACAGAATCAAGAAGTGATCCTGACTTAAAACTGACTCTCTACTTTAGGTTCAAGAAGGGCCAGAAATTGTGCACAGATGGACACTTACAGGTTTTGCACAAGGACACAAAGCATTCGGTGTTCATTCCAAAGGTATGTGAGGCAGACGCTGGCCTCTATGTGGCTCAAGCCCAAAACTCTAGTGGCACCCTGTCTTCCAGTGCCATCCTCCATGTGACAGGTAACCACGAGCCACCAATCACAAGAATAAACTGGATTGTGCTGTGTGTCATGTACGTCAGTGTATCACTAATATACTGGCTACTTGCACAGTAGTGAGGCATTGTCATCAATGGACATTGTCACAAAGCTAAAGGACATTGTGGTTGTTTATTTTCTCACATATCACACAAAGCACCCCCCACCAATTTATCTCTACTCTGATCACATTGTTTGTTTGACTAATACCACTGCTAGGTGAAATAATTGCTTTTTCTCTACTGTTTAATGTATTTGGAGAACATGGGAAATTATGTACAGTGTATAATAACATATTTTGTACTCTGGGAAGAGAAATATCTTCTATAATATGCTGACTCCTTGTTTAAAGGCATGTGAATGCTCACATCAGCATAGAGGTGTAATCTAATTTTCAAATCCAAATGTTTGATAATTTCTTTTTAACTGTGTTCATAAATATCTCTTTGGAGGGCATTACATCAAACTGAAGTTATGATTTTCAATATTGTATTCTCTCTCCTGTAACTGTGCTTTTCATGTCTTGATTTTGTTTACTGAAACATTCTCTACATTCAACATACTCTCCATTCCTGAGTCTGAGAAAGTCTGTCAATAGCCATCCGTTGTGTTGATATCTTGGGCTTGACACTGGAGGACAGACATGCCATCGACTTTAAAATGGAATTTCAACCTTTCTATTAGCTCTATATGCCATACGTCAAGATGGAAGACAGTCTACTGAAGGGGACCAATGTTCTTGTCCTTCTTCTGCTGTGTGTTGGCCATTGAGTGCATAACTGTTGACGGGTCCTCCTGCCTCTGATGTTGCTGCTGCTGCTGAACACTTGGGGAGCCAATTACAAGGCATCTCAGTGCCTCACTTTCCCATCTGGAAAGGGGGGGCTCATCTACCTCTTGACAACTGGGTTTTTAGTTCATGTCCTGTGGTGATCTGGCCAATGGAAAAGTGCTCAATGAAAACTCATTTTAATGCTTGGGGTGACTTGCCATCCTGCAGCTCCTTGCCCATTAATTCCCTTTCAGATGCTGATCTTTTGGAATATTAAATGAAAAGAGCGCTGTTAATATGTAATTCCCTACTACTCCCTTGGGGGAGGGTGAGACTGATGTTCTATGAATTAGAGTTTAAATTCCTTTCTAACTTCTTACATCTACATCCTTTTCAAAGACTTGATGTTAACCTCAGGAGGAGATCATTAGGATGTTTTAGGGGACTCTGGGTAAGACAGAAGAAGATTAATCCAGGCTTCTTGTGCAATTATCACTGTAATGGTGAAGAATGGTATACGGTCTTCAGAAATGCATTATTCAGAATGGACGATCATCTTTTTTGCTTCCTTTGAAAAATAAGAGAGGAATTTGTTTTTTATATTTTAAACTTTGTCTGTCTTGTTAAGGTAAAATCTTAGGGTGAAAGAGTAATTTATTTCAGATTTTTGATGAAGGGGAAAAGTTAATTATGTTGCTAGAAGACTGTCTACAAATAATCAAAATATTTAAATCTAATATATTCTATGTGGTATTAAAAAGCTACTGAACATCGTGGAAGATGAGAAATGTAGAGTTAAGTAAAAAGTTGGCTTATTTGTGTGTCACATATTCAGTTTAATTAAAAAAATTAAAACTCTGTGTTTTTTTTCAAGTTTTGACAGAAAGCTATTAAAATCTTATATATACACAGCATCCTGGGGATGTCCATCTTTTCATTCTTATCATTTCGTCCAATTTTAAGATTTTTTTCATATCTTACCTAGCTGCTATGGTCTATGTGGAAGCTAAACAATAATATCCATCCATGCCCAGGGGAGGCAAGAAGGGGACAAATTCTGTCCTGTCACACTCTCTAGAGCTTATTCATTTGATGAGGTCTCTCCTCCAATGTCACCACGCTGGTTGTATTTGTGTTGGAAGATTGCCAGAGCATCGGAAGCACAAGCTCACTTTACCTGTTTCCCTTCAGGTAATCTCCTTCCTTCAGGGAGCCAAGTGATACAGACATTCATCATGATGTATGACCCAATAAGGCATGTGAAATCCCCCAAGATGTGAATTTGTATGTGTGTATAAATTGAGCCTATATATTGGAGAAAAGTACTATGTGGATAGTCAAGATATAGTTCAGATAGCTTTGTATCTACCTCATCCATCTAAAGTATGAGTGGACTATTCATGCAGCAGTGAAGAATTATGAGCTAGCCATGGACTATTCGTCTAACTGTGCTTTAATTTGAAGAACCTAAGTATGAGTCTCCTTTCTGATGGACTCTGTCTTTATTGAAGAGGTCCCCTTATGCAGGTGTGTATTGAAATGTCAGGCTTGAATTTAGCCACTGATAAATTGCCCATCTTCTAGTAAATAGTAAATAGCCTCCCACCCATACTTAGGGAAGCATGCCTAAATAACTCTGTGGGTCATCACAAAAAAAAAAAAAAAAAAAAAAAACAGAGGGACTTGTTGGAAAGAAGAGTTTTAGCAGAAACAGAAGAGGGTGACAGAGAGGACATGAAAATAACTAAAATTAATTGTATACATGTGTGAAACTCAAAGAATTAAAATGGGAAATGTGAGAAAATTCAAGCGAAGCTTGAATTACTTTATATATATACATACTTTTTGAAAATATTCTGGACAGTTTGTAATATAAAAATACTTTCAAGAAGAAGATTAAAATGTAAAGGTAGAATAAAAATTTATATGTATATGCTTAACACTTCAAGGAATTCAGAGACATGAGATTCGAGTTGCTGATAAGGGAAAAAAATCACCATTTGCAGCTCTGATATTCGAATAAAAAGATGTATCAACATTGAGTGATAGCTTTGCACACTCCATTCCCAAATAAATTTACTATAGGAATCCTTAATTGGAGTTGTTGGAGACGCTGTAACATGTAAAGCTTTGAAGATCATAACTTCAGGAAGATTGCTGTCTGATTTCCCTCATGGAGTGCTCAGGTCTGTCTCTACTGAGCTTAACATCTCAACCTCCATTCCATCCACTGTCTTCTCTTTGCTACCAGCTGGTTACACTGTTGTACTCTTCTTTTCCTAGGCCCCTCTTTGCTGGAATTCCTTTCTTATATTCTCCCCTGTCCTCCCATGGCTTCATTACTGCCTGCCCCACCCAGGCAGTGTGGATATTCCTGCATTGTGCAATGTCAGCACCTGGCCTCCGTCACTCATCTTGATAAACAGTGTGAGATCCACTCATCTTGAGCCTCTCAATAGACTGAGGTCCCCTCAGCAGGATTCATGACAGACCTGTTCATTATATCCCCACTTCCTATGACACACTCACGCTTAATAAGGATGTTCTGATGAAAAGTTGTCAGAAATAAACAAAAATAAACCCAGCTTGATTTTTTTTTTTAGAGATGTGGTGGAGGGGAGGTATAAAGAAAGAATGATTATTATTCTATTTTATGGATGGATCCTGTGAGATCCAGACTGTAACTGAGTTTTCTAGAAACAATCCTCCTTAATCTATGAGAATTCTTCAGGAATTCTATAACCTGGAAACTAGACCCTGGTTGAAAATTTAAACACAGAAATAGAAGATGGCTTCTGTGATCAAAACAACAGTAAACAGGGGATAAGATTCCTGTGATCATTTCCTTTTCCTTGGTGAATGTGGTGTTGGGGATCAAACCCAGGCCACTTTCATGACAGACAAGTGCTCAACCACTGAGCTGAATCCCCAAACCCCTCAACATTTTAAAGCAGATACGGTAAGGGAATAATCACCACTGAGTCTACATGGGGAGATAGGTAGGACTTGGATTCGCAGTGGCTGAATCCAAACAGCCCAAGTTAGGATGTATAGCCTTCTTTTGAATCCTCCATAAATGGTCAATGTGGCAAGTGTGGTAAGAGTTCAGTAATCTCACCGTGAACAGGTCTTATTTGAAGTCAGTAGTTCATAACATACTCATAAATATAAAAGCAACAAGAGCTAAAATCCATAGAGTGTTTGAATTCCAGACGAAGGAAGGCAAGAATACTAGGAATTGTCCCACTTTAAATTTCTCTGTATTGATGGAAATTCTTTACTAAAATGATCCTCTGGGGATTTTGACATTCCTGTTGTCCATTGGGGTTTCAAGTGTGGCCGTGAAATAAGTTACTTGGAACAAAATTAAACCTCTCTATTGATGTAACCAACTGTCTTATTAAATAAGAAACACAGAAACAATGTAAAAGAGAAAGCCGAGAGGTCAGAGCTCAGAGCTAAAATCTCACCCTTCCTCCTGCTGTCCCAGCTTCGCGATAGAGAGCTACTTCCTGTCTGTTCGTTTTTTTATAGTATGTTGTTCTGCCTTCTCATTGGTTGTAAACCCAAACACATGACTGCCTCGTCACTGTCTAAATGTACAGCCCCCTAGGTCTTAAAGGCATTATGTCTCCAATGCTGGCTATATCCCTGAACACACAGATATCTATGGGATTAAAGGCGTGTGCCACCACCGCCACACTCTTGCTATGGCTCTAATAGCTCTGACCCCCGGACAACTTTATTTATTAACATACAATCAAAATAATATTTCAGTACAATTAGATTACCACCACACCTCTCCTTACAGGATGCTGTGATGTTGCTCATGTCACTGAAACACCAAAGCACGACAGACTGTTTTCCATTTATAATGAGCAGAACATTGAGCTGCATCAGAAATGGAGAAGATTTGCATTCACTAAATGAAACAGTGTCCCGCTTAAAGCAATAACAAATCATTTTCTCTGCTCTCATGGCAGGAGATGAGATTTGACTGCTGCCCGCTGTACATGAATTCACCCTGAACC